TTTTTTTTTTTTTTTTTTTTGAGAAAGAGGAAAGGAGAGAGAGACAGAGAAACATCGATGTGATAGAGAAACATTGATCTGTTGCCTCCCGCATACTCCCTGACCTGGATCAAACCCACAACCTGGGTATGTGCCCTGATTGGGAATCTAAACAGCAACCTCCCGTTGCATGGGACTACGCACAAGGAACTGAGTACACTGGCCAGGGCAGAACATCCATCATTTTCCCTTGTCTCTTCAGACCTCCCTGGGGATCCCTCCTCTTGATCCATTGTTGCTCAGGCTACAAGCATGCCCTTGTCCTTTCTAACAGCTGGCATGTGCTGCTTCCTCAAACACCATCAGAGAGCTCTGAATTTCTCTGTCCTCTATAAAGCTCTCTTCAGAACCCAGATAGGAGCTCTCCTCCCACATAGTCTCACATACCCATCTGAATTTCCACTCCCCACCCGCAGTAACCTAAACTTCCCTACTAGAGAAACCCACTGCCTCTTACAATAATGTGCCTTTTACTGAGCTTCTTTTCCTTCCCACTTGGCTTCAAGCTTTTCTGTTGTCTTTCTTGCTTTCAGCATCTCTGTGTATCTAATTTGAGTGTTTCTTGCTTTTCACAGCAAGTCTTTTCTTTCCTGTTTTTAAACTATATTTTTCAATTACAGTTTACATTCAGTATTATTTAGTATTTTAAGTGTACATCCTAGTGGTTAGACAATCATATCCTTGCAGTGTGTTCCCTCCAATATTTTCAGTACCCACCTGGCACCATACGTAGTTACTATAGTATTATTGACTATATTCCTTGTGTTGTACTTTACATCCCTGTGACTATTTTGTAACTATCAATATGTACTTCTTAATCTTTTCACTTTTTTCATCCACTCCTCCAATCCCCTTCCACTCTGGCAACTGTCAGTCTATTCCCTGTATCTGTGAGTTTGTTTCAATTTTGTTTGTTTATTTTGTTCTTTAGATTCCACATATAAGTGAAATCATGTGGTATTTGTCTTTCTCTGACTGACTTATTTCACTTAGCATAGTACCTTCTAGATCCACCCATGCTGTTACAAATGGTAAGATTTCATTGTTTTTTATTGCCAAGTAATATTCCATTGTATTTATGCATTGCAACTTTTTTATCCACTTGTCTATTGATGGACACTTGACTCGTTTCCATATCTTGGTCCCTCCTTATTTCTCACTTCTCCATGTCTTAGTAGTCATTCTCCATTTAGCCTCCAGCACAGCTCCCAACTTCCTCTCCATTTTCTCATACTCCCTGTCCATTCGATATAATCTCCGCCTGTCCTTCCTGACTCACTTTCAAACCTAAAGCATTGTCTTTTTACATGACCCTTAAATTCCCATGAGTAATATGTAAAACACAGTTATAGATTTTATTTCTGGAACAATGGCACATAACATAACTTGAAAAGACATTGTGAACCCCGAGAAAGAACATACCTATTAAGAAGGGACTCTGGTGGCTTAACTGGACTTAAATTCAAACAAAAACCAGAGCCTAGCAGCAATTTCTAAACAAGGACCTCTCACACAAACCTCACTTCAGGGAGAATTTTGCACTAAGCTGCTTTCCTCCTGCACTGAACTGCCTTTCTGCACTGTTTCTGCCATCTGAGCCAGCTCTATTATAAAGAAATTTTTTAGCTCTCGTGGTTCCAGTGGGGAGAGAGGAGGAAGCAGGGAGCGGGGCTGTTGGGGGGGGACCCATCACGGCTACTGCCACCGCCGCCGCCACCACCGCCTCTGTGCTCGTGGCTTGGGAAAGGAGGGGTGAATCCTGGGTGGGAAGGCGATGACGGATATAGATAAACTCAACATCGACAGCATCATTCAACAGCTGCTGGAAGTGAGGGGGTTCAAGCCTGGGAAGAACGTGCAGCTACAGGAGAATGAAATCAGAGGGCTGTGCCTGAAATCCCGGGAGATCTTCTTCAGTCAGCCTATCCTGCCAGAGCTTGAGGCACCACTCAAAATCTGTGGTGATATCCATGGGCAATACTATGATTTGCTTTGACTTTTTGAGTATGGTGGTTTCCCGCCAGAAAGCAACTACCTGTTTCTTGGGGACTCTGTGGACAGGGGGAAGCAGTCGCCAGAGACCATCTGCCTCTTACTGGCTTACAAAATCAAATATCCCGAGAAATTTTTTCTTCTCAGAGGAAACCACGAATGTGCCAGCATCAATAGAATTTATGGATTTTATGATGAATGTAAAAGAAGATATAACATTAAGCTGTGGAAAACTTTCACAGACTGTTTTAACTGTTTGCCAATAGCAGCCATCATGGATGAGAAAATATTTTGCTGTCATGGAGGTTTATCACCAGATCTTCAATCTATGGAGCAGATTCTGCGAATTATGCGACCAACTGATGTACCAGATCAAGGTGGTCTTTGTGATCTCTTGTGGTCTGACCCTGATAAAGATGTCTTAGGCTGGGGTGAAAATGACAGAGGAGTGTCCTTCACATTTGGTGCAGAAGTGGTTGCAAAATTTCTCCATAAGCATGATTTGGATCTTATATGTAGAGCCCGTCAGGTGGTTGAAGATGGATATGAGTTTTTTGCAGAGGCAGTTGGTCACTTTGTTTTCTGCACCCAATTACTGCAGAGAGTTTGACAGTGCAGGTGCCATGATGAGTGTGGATGAAACACTAATGTGCTCTTTGCAGATTTTAAAGCCTGCAGAGAAAAAGAAGCCGAATGCCACGAGACCCGTAACACCTCCAAGGGGTATGATCACAAAGCAAGCGAAGAAATAGATGTCATTTTGACACTGCCTAGTTGGGACTTGTAACGTATAGTACATAACCTTCACTTTTAAAGCTGTAATGTGTATTGGTCTGCTTGCTCAAATAGTGTGTTTGGGGCTCCCTCCCATTTTTCAGTTAATGAATGAATAGCATTTGCTGGTTATAACAGCAGATGAAAGACTTCACTCCCAAGAAAAGCTGTTTTGTTTTTTCATTCCCTCTTCCTCATACAAACAACTTTAATGATGGTGGTAAAGCTGTACACCCCAGGGCAGTTTATCCTGTCTGAGGGGGTAAGTGTGCAATTGACCTTTTTTTTTATTCAGCACAACCCATGAATAATGTACATGCTCGTTTTCTTTAGGATATAAAGAGAGCCCTGGGGTGCTCAGTCTGTACGTGTTATTGTCGTAAAATGCATACTGTTGATACAAATCACTGTGAACATTTTTTTTTTTTAATTTTTAAGAATTTGTTTCAAAGGTATTGCTCATTTCTCTCATTGTCTTGTCATGTACAAACTGGTTTTTATAGCTATCACCATTAGGAGTAACTTTGAACCTTGCCAGCATCACTGGTATAATGTATATTTAAGTAAAGCACATGTTCCTCTACCGTATACTTACAATGATGATTAAAACCATTATTTTATTTTTAAAAAATATATCTTTATTGATTTCAGAGAGAGGAAGGGAAAGAGATAAAAACATCAATGATGAGAGAGTCATTGATCGGCTGCAGCCCACAACCCGGGCATGTGCCCTGACCGGGAATCGAACCCCGATCTCCTGGATCCTAGGTCGATGCTCATCCGCTGAGCCACGCCCGGCTGGGCTTAAAGCCATTATTTTAAATGTTTGTGACTCTTTCCTAAAGCCAAAGTTTCTGTTGAAATATATATTGACACCCTCCCAAGTACAAGGAGGTATAACCATGCCCCCTTCTTGAGGATTCAAAACCAGGTTTTTGAGTTTGAATAGCAATTAGTAACATAGTGCAGTTTAAGCTCTTAACAATTAAAGTTAATAACACTTTGTACAATTTCCATATAGTCTATTCATTAAGTAATCCTTTTACAGTTGCATCAGGCCTGAACTCGTCCATTCAGAAAGCTCCAAATTATAGAATCAACACTGTTCTATACGACTGACCGATTATGCTTTCTTTGGCCTACATTCTTTATTCTGCAATGAAGTTGAGGCTTATAAGTTAAAACTTTCCACCAGTTTATACAGAACTTACATTATCTATGACTTTTTTAAACCAAGATCTGTTAAAAAGAAATCTGTTTCAACAGATGGCCGTGTACAATACCATATGATGGAAGTGAATTCAGACTTATTAAATGACGAACTTATTAAATCCTCTCAGTGTCCATTTGTCAGCACAGTACACACAAGAGAACTATTGATGGCGTATTGGATAGATGTTAATGAATAAATTGCTGTGGAAACCAAAAAAAAGAAATTTTTAGAATCCTGTTTCAACTGATAGGACTGAGACTTTCCCCATCCAATTGGAGCTTCTTCACCAATCAATCTAAGTGGCTTCATTCTGACCAATGAGAATAGTGCCTTTTGTACCAATCAGACTTTAAAGATTTGGACTCCTCATTTGCATTTGAACTGATCACACAGGAACCAGGGCAGGGACTTCTGTCTACTAAGTAAGTCAGCTCCCCTCTGGAACTGAAACACTAAAGACATCTTACTAGAGCAAAGCCAAGCAGATCAGTGCAGGAGCAGAGCAAGCAAGAACACTGCAGACTGGAGGGGACTGGAACAGGTGGAACAGAGCAGAGCAGAGCAGAGCTGTCTAGCTGAAGAGGGGCCTCAACCTAGGCCTTTCCCCAGGGCCTTTTCACAACCTAGTTTTTTCGCAACTGTGCTGTGTCGCAATTGAGTGGTTTTGCACTGAGTAAAGTTTCCTCCTTCACCCCACCCCAAATCAGGGATTCCTGTTAGCATTGATTTTTGCACCAACAACCAGTGGTTGGCAACATATAATATAAACACCCAAAAATACCAGATTAAAAACGTATTTTAATTATTTTTAAATGCAGAGCTGCAGTCACAATGAAATAAAAGAACAAAATAGCCCAGCCAGGCGTGGCTCAGTGGTTGAGGGTGGACCTAGGATCCAGGCTCTCGGGGTTCAATTCCCGGTCAAGGCACATGCCTGGGTTGCGGGCTCGATCCCCAGTTGGGGACTTGCAGAAGGTGGCTGATCAGTGACTCTCATCATTGATGTTTCTATCTCTCTCTCTCCCTTTTCCTTCCTCTCTCTGAAATCAATAAAGATATATTTAAAAACAACAACAACAAAATAAAAAATAAATGAGAACCAAGAGTCAAATAGGATCTGACATTTAGGTGTTCAAAGCTTTGTATGGTGGTTTCCCTGGGGTTTGGCTATTGTGGTCACTTGGATCAGGAGATAAGTCCCTGAGACCAGGCAAACAAGGTGAAAGCTGCAGCTGAATCTTCTGCTACACTCTCATCTCAGTGACAAGAAGAACTAAAAAAATTTACCTAATTGTACAGGGGAGCAAGCTTGTCTATCTCTGTATTCACTGAATGCTGGCTTGTTTGTGTCTCATTCTGAGCATTACTAATTACAAGTCTGCGATTGCAGTTCAAAAACATTCTATACGTGTGATTGTGAAATAACAGAGCTAAGGAGCTGTTGAATATGTAAAAACAACTTAAGAGATATGAAGACTAAACATCCATCATAAGCTGAATGGAAATTTCATTAGAAGATAAAACATAATGAAAAGAGAAAATATTTGAAGAAGTAATAGCTGAGAATTTTTCAGAATTAATGAAAGGCATAAATCTTTAGATTCTAGAAAAAGCTCCAACACATATTTATGAATTTGAAAAATAATCTTCATTTTGCATAGTGAAAAAAACTCAAAGATGTAGGTAACACAATATAAATCAATTTAAAGCTAAGTTAATTTTTCTTAGCTTTCAGTAATTTTTTAGGTAGAATCATTGTACACTAAATACCAAGGGCTGTACTAAACACCAAGATTAGATAGGGTATAAATATAGATGCTTAAACCATAGGGATATAAACATGTAAATAAACCACAAATGTAGGCTGCAGTAATTCTCATGTGAAGGAAGTACAGGGATCAAATGAACCTCAATTAAATCTGTTTTATCTACTGTATTTTTGCACTACTTACATGGTCTAAGTCAATCTGAGACCAGAATATTGGCTGCGATAATCATGCCAGCCGTAGGCAGTGAGACCTGTATATCCATGAGAATATTTCAGGTGGTTTATAGTTCAGAAATTTATAAAGATACCAAAAGGATTAAAAGGAAACCTACATAATGAGCAACCGTACACACCTGTGTGTTAGATCTAACCTAACTCTTCAATTAAAAACTGATGAGAATTCTTGGACAGAGAACATTTATTGGTTATACTGCTTAATAGTTCTCACCTATTCTAGCAATCACTAGATGATGATAAAAATTCACATACCTGTCAGGTGCCTCTGTAGGTAGAGTACATTTAATATTTTCTTTTTTTTCCTTCTAATTTATTTTGTCGAGGCTGTTATATAGAAAGTAGGTGAAGAAACTCTTTGCTATGTGTTTACTCAAAGTTCTTAAGAGCAGTCTCCACAGAAACTGTTTTAAGATGATTTTTATTTTTCCCTAATATGTTCTGAAAATGCTGCCTAAATATTTGTTATCCTGCAATGCTTGTTATACACTAGTTTACTTTCCTACTTTGCTTAATGTCTGATCATCTAGAAGAAAACTTTGCCAACACCAGATCTGTTGGTTTGCTAGGGTTGCCATAACTACTCTCAGACTAAGTAACTCAAACTTAACAAAAATTTATTTCTTACAGTTTTAGAGGATGAAAGTTTAAGATCAAGGTGTCAGCAGGTTTGGTTTCTCCTGAGGCCTCTCACTGGCATTTGGACAACCATCTTTTGCTGTGTGCTAATATTACCTTTGTGCACACCTATCCCTGGTGTCTTTGTGTGTCCAGATTTTTCTGATAAGGATTCAGATTGGATTGGGGGTCATCCTAAGGGCCTTGTTTTAATTTAATTATCTCTTTAAAAGCCTTATTTCAATATAGTCACATTCTGAGATACTGGAGGTTAGGACTTAAGCATATAAATTTTAGGGAGAACAAGTTGAGCCCATACACTGGATATTTTAACTTGCAAAATCCTCTTGATTTTGAAATGTGTTGGTTTTTTTTAACAGAGATATCTTATAGATACTTAGACTTCTGAGACAGTGAGTCACCCTTCACTTCCAAAAAGTCTATACTTCTGTATTATTTTCTTATTAATAATTGTTGCCTTAGTATTTATATTTAAAATGACATTTCTGTTTTCTAAAACATAGATAATTCTGATTTTTCTTTATTAAACCCAAAGAAAAACATAATTTTCCTCTTCTTTTATAAGATGTATTTGAAGGTGAAAAAAAACATAGTAGGAAGAGTTGCTCCAGTGATTATCAAGATTTATTAAATCTAAAATAGTAATTTAGATTACATTATTACATTAAATTGGCACAAGGATAGACTTACAGAAGAATGGAATAAAATGAGTTCAGCAACAGATCAGTATATATGTAGACATTTAAATTACAACATAATTGGTGCTGCATATCATTTTTATTAGTGAATTTTATACCACTGAAAAAAATTAAAATTTACCCCCATTTCATAGCACACACAAATATCAAGTCCAGGCATACTGTATATCTAAATGTAAAAGTAAGCTTCTCAAAGATAAAGTGGTTTTCAAAGTATAATCCTTAGGCCACCAGAATCAGCAGCATCTGAAAGCTGTAAAAAATGCAAATTCTTGGACCTCTTTCCTAACCTAAAGAACTAGACATTCTGGAGGTATGTAAAAAAAACTATTTTAAAAGCACCTCCCAGATGCTGCTCATGCCGCTCAAGTTTGAGTACCACAGATTAAGGAGAATATTTCATGACCTTGGAGAAAGGAGGAAATAATTTACAGGAGTAAATAACAGTTGTCATAAAGAGCAATATTAATCAATTGTATCCCATTAAAAAATTATTTACATCATTGTACAAGTTTAAAAGAGTAAAAAGTAAACCAGAGACTGGTAGAAAATATTTACAATACATATATTCAACAAAGGGCTAGTATACAGAAATTCTAAAGAACTTCAAATCAGTAAGAAAAAGACTGACACCCTTCCTCACCCCCCCCCCC